GGTTCTGTGATTATTGAGCGATCTGGCCAATTTAGCTCTGCTTAGCAATTGTCTTAATGAAAGCCATCTCTTTGTAAAGGTGGTTGTAATGTGTGTGCAGGTACTTACATGTTGTATGTTATGATAATGAGAATATAATATTGTAGATGGTGGTGGTGGGAAGAAGAGGACATCTTCTGAGCTCGGCAGCAGTGGTACCACCCCCACCAGGAAGCGGGCCGCCAGAAAGTGTGGCCTGTGTGGAGAGGAGGGTGAGTTATCTCCCTTTATACCATGTAAAATGATTTTTATGTGAAGGTCTTAAGTAGCGATTTGCAAACAAGTTGTCCATTTTCCATTTATTTGTCTGTCTGTAAAGAATTAACCAAAGTGAGACTCCTCATTACAGGTTTAACTTGAATTTTATAAAATTTCTGGTTTTCTTTTCAGGTCATACAAAAAGAACATGTCCTCACAAATAATACCAAAGTTTTATTGAATGAAAGGTTGTCTGTGATAAAGTGTATTAACATTTGTTATATTTTTTATTTTATGTTAAAATGTGTTCTTGTTATTTTATGTTATACATCATGTTGTGAAAACATGATTTGCATAATAAATAAAAAAGTCCTATAGAATTTTATTTTCTTTTTATATACAAGTACATGTACATGTAACTTTGATGAGTGTTTGTTGTTTTGCGTCCCTTTTAGCCAGGACTTGCAAGTTAAAACCAATACTTTGGTATGGCCATTGAGCAGTGGGACATCTCTGTCATGCCAGTACATGTTTCTACACGGACAGGATTCATACGGTCTCATCCAAAGCTATGCCTGTCATGCATTGGGATTCAAACCCCGGATAGATTAATTATTCCACATTTCTATAGTGCAAACAGGGGGCTTAAATGGTTGTGAACCATCAAAGCTATCCCATGAAGTCAGTGAGAATGAGTTCTGGTACAATTTCATGTTGGCCAATCAAACAACAAAATATTTTGACATAAGCCTAAGCTATTCATTGTAAAATAAAAACCAAAGATCCATGGACCAAATTACTCACCGAAGTCAATATAGCCCCGCTGTTCGTAACAGATTTTTTTCTGCGTAGAATTATTTTGCCCCCCTTTCAAGAAGGGAGAGCATACTGCTTTGCTCTTGGTCTGTTGGTCCATGATCAGTTTACGTTCCTTTTCTTTGCAGAGGATGCACATATTGAAATGAAATTTGGTATAATGTTTTATCATAAGTATATTTATGTTGCGTTCAGACTGGATTTGATCAAATTCCTGATTTCCTGGCCCTGTCACACTTCATTAAAAAGACAGCATTTGGTAAACTTTTTTTATTTGTAAAAGTCTAAAATAATGAGATAGTTCATAAATAAAACAAATCTAAAAAGTTGATGTATATATGTAGGACTCCAAAGTGCGATGGGACTCCAAAGTCCGATGGTCACGCCAAAGTCCGATGGTCTGCGCCAAACCCCGATAGTTTGACACGCCAAAGTCCGATGGTGCAGAAAACAATTAACGTTTATGACGTCATAGCACTGCTACGCAAAAATGCGATACCGCGCCATGCCATGCCCGATTTGTTTAAAATAGAATACAAATAAATATTAAATGCAAAGATTAACCCTAATCTTTTAGATATAGGTGCGAGACTAACACTTATCAGTCGAAAAATGTGTTAAAACTATCTAGATATCTTGGATGGGTGCAGGACTAACCCAAATCAGTCCAATAGTGTGCGAGGACTAACCATAAAATATCTCGGTGAAACACATTGGTGTTCAAGAACTAACCGGCCCTTATCAGTCGAATAGTCTACAAGGACTAGCCCTAATAGCTCTGGTGGGCGAAAACAATAAGCAATATCAGTAAAAATGTATGTGAGACGAATACTGAATCAATGGATTTTGAATGCAGGACAACGTCATGACGTCGGACTATTGTGACGTCATAAACGTTGATTGTTCCTCCGCACCATCGGACTTTGGCGTGTCAGACCATCGCACTTTAGCGTCGCGCGTCTCATAGGAAACGAGCCATCGGACTTTCGCGTGACCATCGGACTTTGGCGTCCGTAAAGACAGCGAGCCATCGGAGTTTGGCGCAGACCATCGGGGTTTGGCGAGACCATCGGACTTTGGCGTCACCATCGGACTTTGGAGTCTTACATATATAATGTACACCAATCACATTCACAGTACAACACATTTACACATGAGTTGATGAGAGTACATGCATTCAATGACTATGTTTTATCACAGGAAATATATGACTGCAGCAAGATGGCTATTTCTTCCTACTGACTTGACCTTTGAGTTGCTTTAATTCGTTCTCATGATAATGTGACACTGCTGTAGCTTCTGCTAACCGTAAAACATAAACAAAAAATAATTCATTTAATAATTTAGTATTTTATGTGCGCTTTTATTGAAGGTAAATATATAACTACAGGTTTTGATTAATATTTCTTATTATAAGCATGATTTTAAAGTTCTCGACACAATATGAGTATATAAATCGAAAGCAACTTACCATGTCAAGGAGAACATCTATTTTTAGCTTAAGAAGGTTGTTTTCCTCTGACAGAAGTTGATTTTGTTTGCGCAGTTTCATGACTTCTTTATGGCTAGCTCCCCCTGGACCACTCTCTGTAAATAGGAGAGGTAGAGTGGCATTAATTCTAGTATATGGGGAAAGTGGCACTTGAATACAAAACATGGCAGATAATTTTTGGAAGTGCTTAGTTAAGCACGTTTACCAGTAATCAGTGATTTGTAAGAATCCGTGATATAAGCTTTTCAATAAGTTCACTTTAAGTTTACTGGTACATGAGAATCATACCTGCCATCCACATTCCATTTTCAAACTGAATCTCGCTTCCTCCCAGTTTTAGCTTGACTGGTCCGACCTCGGGACCGAATTCCTCCCGAGTCTGAGTGGCATCGAGATGGAGATTGGAGAGAGAATGTGCTCGTCTTGGGGGAGTCTTCTTGGGAGAAAACTTATTTCCGAATAATGACAGTGGCATTTCAGTGATCTGTTTGCAAATGTATAGAATATGAAATTATCAACACTTGATAGACATATTAAAGACATATTTATGGGTGATATATACTGTTGCTAGTCTCCCTACTTTAAATATAATCTTTTTAATAATAATCGAAATGTACAGATTAAACAAATGCACTACAATTCATATTGAAATAAATTTCAAATGGTCCACAAATTGATTTTTATAATGCAGAAAATGCATAACTATGTATAAAGTATTTGCATATTATGTAAAACACATTTTTATAATCTTAATACCATTACCGATAACATTTAAAAATCATTAAATAAAAATATTTTTTTCATGCCCCCCCCCCCAAAAAAAACATGAAAAAATTAATTTTATAGAGAGCAGTGTATTCCTTTTCTCTTCACTTGGTATGATGAGTGTGCACAATGCAGTGCAAAATAGACTGTCAATGATCAATGATGATCAAATGAATTTGAAACAATTATTTTTAATTTCTTCAGAATATTACAATTATCTTTATCAAAGGGTGGCTACTTAAGTACTAATGTGTGAAGTTTTGCTTCATTTACCTTGTTGATAAAGTGAGGAAAAACATGTGCACATCAATTTTTTTTTTACCCCAAAAAGTAACACAGTGGGAATTAATATATTTTGCACGAAGGTGGTGTCAGATCAACAAGGATAAGCCCTTTTCATTTATCATTCAATTTTTGGAAAGATAAGAAAAATATATTTGTTTTCTGTAATATCTATAATATCCTTAACATTTAAACATTCCAACTTGAATTGATAAGCATTTTCATTACTTTAGTCCTGCACTTAATATATATAGGGGTCTGCAGATGTAGTAAGAATCTGAACAGAAATGGAGGACACATTCCTTTCAAGAATCGTACTCAGCTTTAATGTTTGATTGATTGATAGAAAATTGTTTTATGTCCACTCAAGAATTTTTCAAACATATAGAGACAACATCATATGCCAGTAAAGGGATTCATATTTAGACATTTTCTCCACACTCAGGGCCATTGAGCAGTGATGGATCATTATCATGCCAATGCCTCGAGCATCACTTTTTATCAAGGTCTCATCAGAAGGATCCGCAACTTTCTTTTTCAAAGTGCCGAGTGCTTGGCAAAGGAGCAGTTGCTACCTATTTTCAGTTGGAGCTGGGGGAAAACCCTCAAGGCTTAACCTTCCAATCATGGAGCCAGGTCTACACCAATTATCAATATTAGGATTGGGATGTTTCTGGTACGTGTGATGAAATTTATTTACAAGATATGACTAAGAGCTGGTTATTAAATAAGAGATCAATATACAGTATAATTAAGAAGAAGAAATAATAAACAAGGACTTATACTTGTGATTGGAGAAAATAAATCATGTATAAAACATTCTACCCATTGCACAGTCTTCTGCATAACTGGGGAATTCAAAAATATATTAAATATCAAAAGAAAATCGAAAAATCAATGAGTTTGCTGATTGTGTTATATCTACATCGTATAATTGGTAACACTTGATAAAAAACTGAAAATACATTACTGTTTTTAAGTCAAAAATTAATGTTTTACACACCTGTTATTTGTTTCTACCTGTTTTGATTTACAGCGCCATCTGAGATGGGAGTGTTGTTAACTCGTTTTCTGAAAAGTCGATAAGTGTTTCAATACAAATCAAATGAGAAATACTGTTGAAATTTTAAAAATCACAAAATTGAGGAAAAGATGAAACCTTAACTTTACCATCAAGGATTTATCTTTAAGAAGATGTTATTGAGATTTGATTCTTACACTGGATACGAATAATATAAGAATGAGCGTCCAAATAAACAAACGGAGAGAGTGATTTGTGACTGTTTTTTTTTTAAGGTATGACAAAATTATTCTTTTATTGAATTGTGATCTATGATATTTTTCATTGTTTATTTAATACCATTGTTACCCCACTCAGTTTCTGGCACTGCTATTGTTGAAACCACGATTCTCTTTGGATTACCTTCTGTATTTCTTTGTGTCAGATTGACACAGCACAGGAGTCGGCAATTTTATCAATAAATAGTAAATAAATGGTTAACAGGCATAAATACTACCAGTGAGCTTCGCGAGCGTAGCGAGCGAAGCGACAGGATGGCAACGAGTTTTCTCGATTTTCTCTAAATCGCCGTCCAGCCAACATCAAACTTCACATATCAACTTCGGAATGTCCAGTTAGTAATCCCTGACATTTTTTACCATTCAACTACCCTACATTATCATTATAACAACACTTCTTCACATCTCGTTTACAACCAGCGGCCATTGACAATTCTGCGTGACGTCACATTCACTGCAGATCGAAATACTCGGAACACGGATTATCGAAATGAAAAAGATCGAAGTATTCCGAGAAGATGGCGGAAAATATCGAAAACAGCATCGAAATGCAAGATCTTCGAGAAAAGGCGTACCATAATGCATTAGAGGGGCATAGTTTTATAATAACGGGCCAATGTGGAACCGGGAAAACTTACTTATTGAGGTAATTGAGTAATTACACACAATCTTTGAATATATATAGGGTTGTTTATTTTAAGTTTCTGTCGACATTTTCCCGCAAAATGTCAAACCACTGATATTGTACTTAATAGGTTTTGTTAAAACATTTTCCTGGGTTAATCAATATTATTTTTTTTTTTGTAGTTTATTTTCTACAAATTGTTTTTTAAAAGAGTATTTTATGCAAGAGGGTTCAGCAAACAACTTTTTTAAAATTTTAAATAAATGCTCAAAAATGT